CAGTTTAGTCTGTTTTGTGTTCCACCCTATGTGCGGTGCTTTCTTGGCTATCACGACCGCTAGGATCTATTTTCGGAATCTACCAGCCGAATCTGTCATCCGACTTGTGTGGGCTATTTGAGACATGTGTGATGAGCTGTCCGAGACCCGCGTTAGTGTTCTAAGCTACCTTTTTCAATTTCGGATTCTCTATCAGAGGCCAAGTCGGCGATTCGTTACAGTGTTGTTCGATTTCCTCGTCACTTTTAACACTGTTATTGTAGTGGGGAGCACCCTCCTTGTCCGGTATACATTCACCACGTCCTTTGTTTGTGATTATCTGTATAGCCAACCAGCTATCTCTTCTATCCTCTCCCTCCTTTTCCAATCAGTCTTCGCACCTTCTTATGCCCTTACAAACAGTTTAGTTTGCTCCAAAAGACCATTTTCCTTTGCAGTGGTTGTCGAGTTATGAAGGATCAATTCACAGGGGAAACTTTCACAGTTTGGTAACTGTCGTGTTCTTTTTTGAGCTGGTTACTTTCTCAGCAAACCGACTGCCCTTTGGAATGCCACTGTGGTTGGTGGTGTACACTCTTCCGAGGCATCTATCTGGCAGAAAGTAGCCGTTGATTTAAACTCCACCGGCAATGATGATTTTAAGGTGAGAGTTGGCAGTGTGAAGGTCGTGTTTTACCGTCCCAGTATACGCACGAATCCGTCTTTGTTGGGTTCTGCCCTGTTCTAATAACACGTGTTTTGAGTAGAAAGTCAATTGGATACGATGGTATTCGAGTCCCCTGTCACTTTTTACACTATTATTGTGGCAAAGCCCATTCTCCTTGACCACAATATCTCTTTCGCGTCCACTGTTGTCTGTATAGTTAAACGGCTCTCTCTAGTCTCCTCTTTCTCTCTTCTTCTTCGATCAGTCTTCGCATCTTCTGATGTCCTTGAAAGGAGTTTCGTTTTGTTCCAAAAAACTGCTCCTCTTTTCAGTGGCTGTCGGGCTATAGAGGATCGATTCACGGGGGAGACCTTCAAAGTTTGGTAACTGTGGTGTTCTTGTCTGAGCTACTTCCTTTCTCAGCAAGCCGAATACCCTTTGGAATGCCACTGTGGTTAACGGAGTACACGTTTCCCAGACATCTATCTGGAAGAAAGTAGCCATTGATTTGAACTCCACCGGCAGTGAAGATATTAAGGTGAGAGTTGGCCAATGTTAAGGTCGTGCTTTACTGTCCTAGCGTGTGCACATTGATCCCAGTCTTTGCCTTCCCACTTATCCTTCTTTTTTTCCTGCCTCCCCGTTCGTTTATTTTCCCAACCGCGTGAATTTATCCCCTCCCTCTGAAATCCAATATTATTTCAGAGGCTGCCGTGATATACTCGATGCTCTGACCGGTGAAAGGCACAAGATCTGGTAAGCAGATGGGGGTTCAGGTTCACATTTTGTGTCTAGTAAACCAACAAGCTTTTGGAGCGCAAACGGAGGGGGATTGGCTGATCGTCCATGGCAGACAGCTGTCGTTGATCTGGCCGCCGCTTCGAGCGAGGACTACAAGGTGAGATAGTGGGGAGGCGGCTTTCGTCATGTGTTTCCCTGATTTCGCCTGCGTCAACCGAGACTAAAGTCAAAATCTCAACGACCGTCCTATTTCAAACTGAATAAATACCAATGTTTTTATAAGTAGGGAAGGGGAAACAGGTTAAATGTGGTTTTGTCTGTTTCATTGTTTAACAAATGCGTTACCCCCTCTTGGATACAACGACCGATGGGGCCCGGTAACGGAACCCACTAACCGGATCTGCCATCCGACTGATCTGGGTTATCCAGACTTGCACACTGAGGTGTTTGAGAATCGTGTTTGTGAGCTAACTTCCTCACTTCCCTTTTCCGTATATCAGAACATTTTGTTTCGAGTACGGAAGCAGAACCTCCGATTATCCCTTCCCCTTTTTTACTGTTATTATGATGGGGAGCGTGGTCCTTGACCAGGATACATTTACCGCATCCGTAGTTTTTTTATCAGAAAATTCTGTTTTGCACGTCAAATCGTTTATTCCGCAGTCCGAGTCCTAACCCCCTTGGTAGTGCCGGAACTCAGTTTGCCATCTAAACCACTGCTTTTTCGGTCTTGTCGTACATATCCCCACCCCGTCCATTATATCTGTGGGAGGAGTGTGCCTCCATTACGCCAAGCAGCCTTCTTATTTAGCCCCCAGTTTATGTCTCATCGTCTTGTTTGACATTGGCATCAACATAACCGAACTTTGATGTAGGATGTATCGTCACATCACCGTTGATTGCAAATGCGTGCTTGCAACGACGAATTTTGGGCCAAAGGTGTTGCAGTGCGCCCATAAGTCCCTTACTATAGACTCATTTCTATCGTGTACAGACCCATTTGTTGTTCACTGATCAGCGTTTTGGCCCCGCGTTCTAGTTTCCCCACCGTGACCTTCGTCTACCCTCCCTATTCTGCCTGTAGTGGGAAGGAGTTTCCATCACACCGGTAGGCTCTTTATCTCTCGGAGATTTTTTTGACCACTTTTAATTCGATCATCTTGTTTGATATTAGTATCAAAATAACCGAACTCTGACGTGGGATACATCTCAACACCTCCTTTGATAACATACAACAGCTTGAAAGGATAAATGGCGGGTTAAGCAATTTGCGATGCGGTCAATACATCTTTTATCAGAGACTCACACCTATCATGTAAAAATCCTGGTGTTGTTCATAAAGCGCTGTTGTGTCCGGGCTATGTAGTCATCTTGCCGTGAGCGGGTCTGAAGAATTGATGCTTTTTTGCCCACGGCAATGCCACAAATTAGGTGCCAAAAACGCGGAGGCTGTTTGTATGATATTCCCGTTTTTACACACGCAGTCCATATGTTTTGCCTTATTCATCGCATTTTACCCTGTACCAGCTCAGTTCTTTGCGAGGAGGGAACC